GACCAACTGCCCTATACAGGCACCTCAGCCAGTCATATGACCGAGTGGTTGTTTGTGTATATCTAGTACCTTCTTCATACTCTCACCCGTCTGTCTATTCATTCCCCCCCCCGCCCACACACTCATAGCCCGATGCGAAGAAACTGGTGTATGCCCTGTCCAACAATTACTGGTCGCAAATGTACCTGGATGATCTACCCATCATGAGTGTCCTGGGAATGTATGAGAACCCCGCGGGATCCGATGAAAAGGTGTGTGGTCGATTTGGTTGGCTCAGGCATTCCCCTTGTATTGTATAGACGTACCTACTTTGTGTATTGTGTGGGGGTGTGGATGACCCATCATGAGTGTTCTGGGAATGTATGGGAATCTCGAGGGATCGGATGAAGAGGTGTGTGGTTGTTAGTGTATGCGTCATAGATGTGATATGTGGCTATTTATAGTAAGTGTGTTGTGAAAAGGTGTATAGTGCACGTATCATTGGTGCCATCTGTGGTAGTCAATAGTTAGTGGATTAGTTAGTGAGTGGAATAGTTAGTTAAGTATATTAGTTAGTGAATGGAATAGTTAGTAAGTATATTAGTTAGTGAGTGGTTTAGTTAATAGGTATAATAGTTAGTAAGCATATTAGGAGTCCCACACATAATATAGAACAAGTACTGGTTGTACATTACATATATGCATGCCTATACACAAACGACATTGCTTTCCTTCTCGCCGTGCACATGCTGCTTCATTAGTACTATCTCAATGTATGGACTATTGTTCTAAACGTACACCTGCCCTACCTACTCTCCTATTACCCCAGTCTCTGAACCTAAACCCCAAACCCTAGATTATTATAAACGTACACCTGCCCTGCCTACTCTCCTCTTCCCCAGTCGCTGAAACCAACACCGGATGCAAAGTTCTACATCTGGACGCACAAGAAATTTGAGATTGGCTTCAACGCAGACCGCATTGTGGTTGTCAACACCACCAACGACCGCCGAGTGGAGGTGTACCCGGGCCAGAAAGTGGTGTTCTCATACGAGGTAAGGGGTTAAGGTTTAGTAATTGAAGTGTCCGTAGAGTTCTGTTGTAGGGTTTAGGGGTTTGAAGTGTTGGTAGTTGTGTGTGTGTGGACTGTTAGTATGGGGTGAAATAAGTCATATAAGTTAAGTCATATAAGATAAGTTGTAAAAGTTTTAGGGGTTGTGTGCTCTGTCTCTGTTCCTGTCAAAGTAACTGTTTGTAGCCATCGCGTATAACGGTTTTGGGCGCCTTCTTGGATGGCATATGTTTTTATTCGAGTTAGTGTATCTGTGTGGTTGTCAATGTATTTGTGCGTAGTACAATATACTTTACAAGCTTAACGTATTCCGTTTTTCTTATAGCGTTGTGCATATCTGTGTGGCTGTCGATCTCTCCGTTCGTAGTACGATATACTTTATAGCTTAACGTATTCCTTTTCTCTTGTAGCGTTGTGCATATCTGAGTATCTATGTGGCTGTCTATCTCTTCGTTCGTAGTACGATATACTTTATAGGCTTAACTTATTCCTGTTTTCTTATAGCGTTGTGCATATCTATGTATCTGTGTGGCTGTCTATCTCATCGTTCATAGTACGATATACTTTATAAACTTGACGTATTCCTTTTATCGTGTAACGTTGTGCATATCTGTGTATCTATGTGACTGTCTATCTCTTCGTTCGTAGTACGATATACTTTAGAAACTTGACGTATTCTTTTTTTCTTGTAGCGTTGTAAATATCTGTGTATCTATGTGG